AATCAATAATCTACTCCGGTCACCCAGACGCCAACCACGAGCACACTGAGGGAGTGGCTATCATGATGTCCTCAAGAGCATCGAAGGCTCTCATGCAGTGGGAACCAATCTCCTCCAGGATCATGACAGCAAGGTTCAACTCAAAAGGAAGAAAGGTCACAATCATACAATGTTATGCACCTACAAATAATGCAGAGCAAGAGAAAAAGGAGGATTTCTACAGACAACTTCAATCAACACTGGACAAGACGTCAGTTGGCGATATCAAAATTCTAATGGGCGACATGAATGCCAAACTGGGAGGGGACAATACGGGAAGAGAACTAACCATGGGTCGAGAGGCGCTAGGTGAAATGAATGAGAATGGAGAATTGTTTGCAGAATTCTGTGCATTCAACGATTTGGTGATTGGAGGCAGTGTGTTCAGGCACAAGGATATCCACAAAGCGACATGGACTTCACCAGATGGACACACTAAAAATCAAATCGACTTTATCTCAATCTTTTTTTTTTTTTTTTTTTTTTTTTTTTTTTTTTTTTTTTTTTTTTTTTTTTTTTTTTTTTTTTTTTTTTTTTTTTTTCAAGGAACCTTCCAAATCAAGTTAAAAGCCTTCAAGGAAGCTGGTGATAGACCTCAATTCAAGTACAACACTCGGAAACTGAAGGATGAAACTACAAAGGAGATCTTCAAAGCAGCCATCAAGACAAAATGGGAGACGTCGAGGGACATCCCTGAAGAAACCTGTGTGGAAGAACACTGGAAGTCTTTGAAAGCTGTGTGGAAAGAAACCTGCACAGCCGTATTAGGAAGGAAGAAGAAAGAAGACAAGGAATGGATCTCGACGGATACCTGGAAGCTGATAGAGGAGAGGAGGATGGTGAAGCAGAAGATAAACCAGTGCAAGGATGCTCAACGACAAGAGGAACTGAGCACAATGTATAAAACACTGGACAAAGAAGTGAAGAAGAGTGCACGCAAAGACAAAAGACACTTCTACGACACACTGGCAAGTGAAGCAGAACAGGCTGCAGGTAAGAGAGACCTGACGACATTGTATCAAATAACCAGGTTGCTATCAGGGAAGAGACCAACACAGATGAAACCAATAAAAGATGAAGAAGGAAATTTAATTACAAAAGAAGAGAAACAGAGGAAACGATGGGCCGACCACTTCAAGAAGCTCTTGAATCGACCACCACCTGCACTTCGTCCAGAAATACCACCTGCAGCCGCTGAATTACAAGTGAACATAAATCCCCCAACGAAAATGGAAGTCCTGAACGCCATAAAGCTACTGAAAGGTGGGAAAGCAGCAGGACCAGATGGAATACCGCCAGAAGCACTGAGAACAGATGCAGAGACAACAGCGGACATGCTCACACCACTATTGCAGAAGGTGTGGAAGGAAGAGAAGGTACCTGACGATTGGAAGAAGGGTTACCTTGTCAAACTGCCGAAGAAGGGAGACCTCAGTGCTTGCAAGAACTGGCGCGGAATCACTCTCCTGTCCACCCCAAGTAAAATATTAAGCCGCATCATCCTGGAGAGGCTTAAAGACGCACTGGATTCAAAACTGCGACCGGAACAGGCAGGCTTCAGGAAGTACAAATCATGTGCTGACCAAATTGCAACGCTTCGTATCATCATAGAACAGAGCGTAGAATGGCAATCAGCTCTATACCTCAACTTCATCGACTTTGAGAAGGCCTTTGACAGCGTCGACCGAGAAGTAATTTGGAAACTGCTTCAATACTACGGAGTACCGCAAACCTTTATCCGCCTCATTCAACAACTATATGAAGATGCCACATGCCAAGTAATCCACAATGGGAAGCTCAGTGATGCCTTTGAAGTGAAGACAGGAGTGAAACAAGGTTGCCTACTATCCCCCATGATATTCCTTATTGTGGTGGACTGGATCATGCAGCAAACAGTAGGCAGCGAGAAGAGGGGGATACACTGGACGACGGAAAAGAACCTAGAAGACTTGGATTTCGCCGATGACTTGTGCCTAATGTCACATAAACTTGAAGATCTGCAGGCAAAAACTAACAAGTTGACAGAAGAGGCAGCTAAGACGGGACTTCAGGTGAATATAGAGAAGACAGAAGTGATGAAGATACCGCACCACCACCATCAACAACAACAACAAACTCCAATCACCGTCAACGGGAGAAACTTGAAGGAAGTAACCTCCTTCACTTATCTAGGAAGCACTGTTTCAACTACAGGCGGGACGGACGAGGACGTCAAAGTCAGAATCGGAAAAGCAAGACAGGCGTTCATTAGCCTGAAACCAGTGTGGAGATCTTCTGCACTCAGCATGTGGAACAAGATACGGATTTTCAACACCAACGTCAAGTCAGTGCTCTTGTATGGCTCAGAGACTTGGCGCGCCACGAAAGGTATTTCCAATAAACTACAGACATTCATCAACAACTGCTTACGCTCGTTGCTGAAGATCAGATGGCCAGAAAAAATAAGCAACAAGGAACTCTGGGAACGAAGCAACCAAGAACCTATCACGCAACAAATATGCAGGAAGAAGTGGAGATGGATTGGGCATGCACTGAGAAGGCCGACTGAGGACATCACGCGTCAGGCCCTCGAGTGGAATCCCTATGGGAAGCGACGAGTTGGACGTCCGAGGGTGACATGGAGGAGGTCATGCGAGGAGGAAATGAGAGCTTGTGGGCTGTCGTGGAACCAGGTTCAAAAGATCTCAGAGAACAGAGGTCACTGGAGGCGTGCTACTGAAGCCCTATGTTCCACTCGGAACCCAAGGGACTAATAATAATAATAATAAACTTTGAACACAAAGAAGTGCTAATTTGTTTGCTTTATTTATTTTCATCGTAATTGATCATAAAAAAAATTTATTTACTTTCAATTTATATGACTATGAATGGCGGAAATCGACTGTCTCACTTAAGTGAAGTTGATGTTTCAAAGTTTTATGTAAAATTTCAAAATGTTTTTCTAATGAAAATGTAACTTGAAATGAAGAAGCGGTGAAGTAAGTAAGTAAGTAGTGTACATGAATTGGTCACTAGTGGTTAACCGTTGTAGTTGTCCAGTCCTCGTCACTTAGCTCTGGCTAAAGTCTGTCGATACTGTACAGATGCCTCTTTCCTTTTCCACCGACTAGTTGCTTATGATCTTTGTGAAATCTGATGCTCTTTTGCTGCACACTAAGCAGAAGTAAAAGCAAGAAGCGAAAGTTATTCTCATAGAAGAGGGAACAAAGGAGTGGGAAGCTAAAAATGAGAATATCTTATTTATAAAACACAATAACCTATATCCCGTATGTGCCACTATTATTGGTTCCAATTGATGTCACTCACTTGCTGTAACCATAGGTTTCTATTTACCATGCTGGTTACATCGAGAAAATTTAGAGTTACGTCATGTAGTTGCATTATCATTTTATTTTGGTTACATTTATTCGGTCGTCGAACTCATTTGGTATGCTTACTAGGTACCCTGAGTTCTGCATCTCACTATGCCTTCTCCAGCTAGATTTCAACTCCTGACAGCTGCATTACTCTCTTCGTATGCATACTGCAGTGGATGCGTAGCAATCAATCTTTTTTTCCCCTACAGAATTACTATGGTCAACCAAAATGCATTGTTCGGAATATATCAGCTAAATTTTTCGAACTCCGAACAGTATTATTTTTCTTTCGGGCTAATGAGGTACGATAAACAACTTAACCTTGATGGTGCTATTGTATTAATAGTTCTAGTGACGTTATTGTTTTCGAATGAATAGCAAATATTGATGTATCTGCACCTTAACAGATCAGCTCTATGAAGTAGTTCAATGAATATTGAAGAGTTCGCAGAAGGAGAACGTTACAAGCCTGATTGCTGACTGATACTAACAAAAACTCAGCAAATGTTTAATACATTAAAATACTATTGTCACTAACTTTTTATCTATAAGCATACATTTGTGCAAGATTCAAATACTACTATGTCAATCGTAGATCGGTGACATTTTTCATATCAGTTTTGCGTATACTAATGTAAACTGCAGACTTTAGTAGGAATGACTTCATTTATCGACATAGATAAACGAGTGCTTTAGTTTCACAGATGCATGACATTTTTTGCAACTGTATCTTTTGTATGTATTAGCAGAAGTACTGCAACGGTGATGTCTAAGTTAGTTGCGTTCTAGTCTAGGTGGCTATATTGGATACCTTAGCTACATACTTTGATCCTCACTGCAACCAACCAGTTGTTACCTTACTGCCCAACTACAAGACTGAACTGTTTGTCAACTGATTATGTGTATGTCATCTGATAATCTCCAAATTCAAGGTTTTGCTTATATTCATTCATTCATCTCAAGAGGACTGATGTCTCCTTAGAGGTTTGAACTGAGTTAGACACTGTTGCAGTCGCGTATGTGATCGATAGAATTTGGCCAGCACTTAAAACTAGACCAGAAGAAATAGTATTCATCTTCGAACAATTTAGTTTGTTTAGGGTGGTGGGTGCAGCATATTTTTAATTCTTTAAACTGAATAACAGACTTTATTCAAGAAAAAGAGACCCACATTCTGACCTACATATTGTTTATTGATTTGATGTCAGGTGCCATGCAGCGATAATTATGCGTTAGTTGTTTGAATCACCGAACTTTATGCAATGATACATTGCCATTTCAGCAGTCACTGTTGAAAGGTGTAAATTGCTGTCATCTCCTTTTGACAATATGTTTGTACACCTTGGTCTTGTTTAGCCTCATAAGTTATATCATGATAAATAGAGCCGTATAAACTGCTTGGTTTGGGTTTCCGAGATGCTACGAACGAATGACTAGATGCTTTTAGTGATATATCTCAAAACCAGCCATAATGACGTCCAACAAAGATTTGGACATTTTAACAACGTCAATTTATTTATTCCCTCTCCTATCACATAATTGTTTAGTTATATCCCATTCTTCTTCTATCCGCTTCTGTTTTCTATGATGCTGTAAATCCTTCAGTATGAAGACCGTATAAAATCTTTGGAAACGTACGCTAACCTGACAAATGCACATAATTCAACCTGTTCTTCAACGTCTAACTCAAAGAATTGTCAGCCTTCATTAAACACTCAAGCGTTAACCAACAATAAATCAACACAAATTATCAATGAAGACTTAGTAGAAACAAGGAAGAGTCAATCAATTATGATTTCAAGTTTACTTGATAGTCTACGAAATCAAATAACTCATTTAAAAGTACAATTAAATGAACGACAGAAAACAATTGAGGAAATGAAACATTTTGCTGAAATCAATAGTAATAATAATATGAATAATGATAAATTAAATAGGAATACAAAACAAAGATCAAAATTTCCAATCATAAATAAACGATTTCATCATCCACATGTTCATGAAATTAAATCAAGACAAATAAATTTTATCAATGACCAAACAAGACCAAAAAATGCATGTGTATGTTAATTAATTTAGATTAATGGGTTGTTTTTTGTTCTTTATTATGTTAAACAGCAGAATTTATTAATTTCACTTGCTATGATGATTGTTGTCTTCGCAGTAAATTGAATTATTGAATAGTTGGCTAAAACTGACAGGAGAATATGAATAAAATTTCACCATCATTATTCATTTGAATTAGTTTGGCATATCATTAGTTTCGAGCTAAGATATGAAAGTCTGCAGATGTCATTTAATATTCTTCGTCATTCAACTGTGTTAGGAGGTAATAGAATGAAACTAATTGTCTTGAGAGCTCAAAATGAGATAGGAAGAGTTATAAATGTTGATGAAGTCAATATGCTCATTTCACTTGAATTTTCCTTGACCCACCGAAGTGTGTAGACCATAATCTTACAGATATTTGCCTTTTTTCTTCATGCTGTCAGTTTTCTCAAGTGGTTACTTGGAATCAGGTGATAACCAGCCCAAAGTACTACTTCTGAGCTCTGTATCTATAAGGTGTTTGATTAACTCTATTTCCTTAACTTGCTAGAGATTTCAAACTCGTATCATATGCTTGATACCTGGCTATTTCAGTCAGTTGTACAACGGTGATGATGGGTGCATTAACTCAAACACTCTATTGTAATCTTGAAATCTAAAGTTTTTGATGAGCACCGTGCACGCAGTTGCATGTTGCTATGCGTAAGCGTAGAATTGATTGAGTTTACACAATGCAGCTGTTAAAGTGATAAGGTTCATCCGTGATGACTTTATGTCGTATCTATTTACCTTCCAAGGATTGTAGGTTGTCATTACTTCTGCTCGATGATACAGGTGTGTTGAGTTCTTACAAATCGGATAAACTTGCTTTAGTTCAAAGATACTTTTGGCAGTCACAGACCAGCAATAACAAAACCTTAATAATTCCGTGTAACCATTTACAAACAGCTGATCGTTTACTTCCTGATAAGGTAAACACTAACAAGATACTGAGGATACAATGCACTGTAACCATTTGTTTCATATAGACCACTATGGTGTATTTATTTATACGTAAAGCTGAATTATTTAATGAAGACTGCAAAATAAAAACATTGTAAGTGGTTTTTTGCGGCAGCTAATGACAAAGTCTACTTTCTTAAGTACTGCAAGTAAATTTAATTAGTAAAGAAAAAAACAAAAGAAGTTCCATCATCTAAACTTCTGGTAGATCCAGTCTAAATCAATTGCAGCATGTATAAGGGTGAGACCTACCAAGATATCCTAATAACTGAAAAAAAATTCTTCAGTTGATGAAAAAATAAGAACGAATAAAACCGTGAAAATTGGTGCATTCAAGTGATAAGACGAATCATATAAGTCAAAGAGAGCCGATATTTATACACCTATATCATTGATACAAAATCAAAATATTATGGGAAAGGTTGCATGAGTGCATAAGAAAATGTAATATTGTGGACACAAATTTTATTAGATCTGCGTTAATTTGTTCCTTGATTATATTAAAAGCGTCTTGAATTTTGCCATTGAATTCTGCATCCGAGAAACAATTTTATGAAATTAAGATCTATCCAGTTTGCATCTGTTGATATCCTTTCTTTTTTCTTGCGTCTTATTTATGACATGATATGTTTTTTGAAGCGATTAAAATAGAGTAGTTCATAATGATAGTATGCATACTTTTTCATGCATATCTTCCCATCCGTTAGTTATTTGTGAAAATATTTGTCCCATTATACTTACGAGTATAGCTTACGGTATATATTCAGTATTGTACTAACGTCATATTATATATATATATATGCTACTTAATTGTATATGTATATGAACTTTTCATGGTGCATATTATTTATTCAAACTGAATAACGAATATTTTCTGTGGAAACACTTAAAATGATTTATATTCAGTTATATATCCTCATACTTCAGAGTCACATGTCGTCAACGCCGGCTGTTATGAGATACTGTTGCAGTCATTTCAGTTAGTGGGTTGGTTTTGTAACCACATTGGAAAGTTGTCGGTTACTAATATTACGCAATCTGAATGACCACCTTCGGCTTCAAACGCATTTTCATCATTGTTAGTTACTGTCTTATGAAGGTGTAATTTTTTGGAAAGTAATAGTGATTTCTGACATAAGTAGTTTTATCATGGCTTTTATTGTTATGAAAAAGTTTTTTACAGGGGAAAATGCCATAGTTGTCTCCGTCAAAATTCGAATAATGTGGAACTTACTGGTTCGTGGTTGGGACACGCCTAGTCGCCGACTGCCTCGTCATACAATGTTGGCCGAAGTAGACGCAGGCTGGAAAAAAGCTTGAGGTGGCCAGACTAAAATATGGGACCAATGTATGAAATCTTTTACTGTTGGTTTGAACCATATGGGGCGATGCAAACTAGCCGGTTGGGGTCCGTGAGACAATAGGAACCAGTGGTTTGAGACTCTAAGTGATGTGGTTGAGAACGGATATCAGTGGCGCAGATGTACACACATTATTATTATCTTAACGATGCTATACTGAGTCTCACCATCTTCACATTCTTCCTTTCTCTCTCTTCGTACTCTATATTTCTTTTGACTGAATTTTTTTTATCTTCATCTTGTGCCTCACTGTCTTTTTACTTGATGTACTGATATGAGCTGTGGCAACGCGGACCGTTTTGCAGCAATACCTTTGTCCTATGTTGATATTGATGATGATACTGATACGCGTTGCCATTAGTTTCTTTGGTTATAAACGGTAAAAAACTTTTTGCAAACAAATTTGAGGTTGGAGGAGTGTTCAAGTGTTTTCTTACAACAAAATCAACAGTACAGCTTCCTTGGTGACTACTCAAGAAGAATAAGTAACATGCTGAGTCAATATTTTTTGAATATTGAAGGTGTGTAACTTACAATGAAATTATTTCTAGCTAGATATTTTTAAAAGATGACAAAAGCAAGATTTACTTTCGAGCGAATACAAAACCTCAGCATCCCATCCTTAGTATATCTGTGCATGCGTTGAAACAAAAATGATTGTATCGTTTAACGTAATATCTGTATATATGCATAACTATGAACATCATCTGATTGCATCTTGAAAATATTTAGTAAAGTTTAACTTCATTTTTGTGCTGAATTTTATCCCTACACAATTGAAATCTTTTGAATCAAGTGGGTAAGTCGATGAACTTGTCGGCATCTTCTTACATATTGTCCTGAAATTACAAAACATCATGAAAGTATAGTGAAATTTTCTTATCAAGTCAGCGTTTTAAAAATTATGGCCGCGTGGAGAAATAAATAATGAAGTAGGGTGAAATGACAATCAGTAAATATGATGTGATAGTATTTTTTTTTCATTGACTCACATGCAGCCAGTTTCCTTTGTACATCAAATTAACAGTTATGCATTAATCCTAAGTGACGCTTATGGCTTTTTCATGAACAAGATCTTCACCATAAAAAAACCTTTGCTATCTACCGAAGGTTATGTAAACGTCTAAAGGTTATCAGGAAACGTCCGTAGTTTTTGCTGATTCTGATTTTTGACTGCAACCCATCCTGTAAATAATTAGATACTTAACTGATGAAAAAATATCATCGATTAACTATAAGATCTCTGTTTATGAAACCTTAAAAAGAATTTGATTTGGAGTAGACTGGAAAATTAATTTAAACATAGATTTCTATATTATTTACTAATATACAGGGAATATTGAAATTATGGCACCAAATCTCGCGTATTGAGTAAACACATGAAGAACAGACAATCAGGAAACTTGAATGAGGGGAAGGTTTGTCAAAGACTGGAGTTTGATGGAGCATTTTTTTCAATGAAATTTGGAAACTTTAGCATGTATTTATTCTACGTAATCTTTGTGTTCTCTTCATGGCCATGCATACAGGTCTGTATTTAGAAAATGGTTACTAACAATTGAATGAGAATATCACTGACAGATAGATACTATTCAAAACAAGAAATGAATAAAACTGACAAATGACCAGTGAGATGGTATAGTTACAATTAGAATGTCTCTAAAATGGTTCATTAGAATAAAATAAAACAACTAACAAGTTTACATACGATTTTGACAAGAGACATCATGAATTTAGTCAGTTATCGACTATCGTTGACAATGAATATCAGCTAGTTGAAATACTTTTTTACGCTAACTAACGAAACCTAATCATACACTTCCCCACTTTATAATTTTGTCATTGGATGGTGGCTACCGTATATTGTGAATTCAGAGAAGAGGAAAACGTGGACTTATGAATTTCATCCCAGCATCTGAAAGGTACATTATTCTCCATGAGAACTGACGGTCACGAGCTTGACCTTACACGTAGTCCTGGGTGCACACTGCTGAAGACTTTTAACGCAAACCAACTCAACTGTTGTCCAAATAATGTCAACCATCTATGAAAACTATCCACAATGGGAAGCTCAGTGATGCCTTTGAAGTGAAGACAGGAGTGAAACAAGGTTGCCTACTATCCCCCATGATATTCCTTATTGTGGTGGACTGGATCATGCAGCAAACAGTAGGCAGCGAGAAGAGGGGGATACACTGGACGACGGAAAAGAACCTAGAAGACTTGGATTTCGCCGATGACTTATGCCTAATGTCACACAAACTTGAAGATCTGCAAGCAAAAACTAACAAGTTGATAGAAGAGGCAGCGGAGACGGGACTTCAGGTGAATATAGGGAAGACAGAAGTGATGAAGCTACCGCACCACCACCATCAACAACAACAACAAACTCCAATCACCGTCAACGGGAGAAACTTGAAGGAAGTAACCTCCTTCACTTATCTAGGAAGCACTGTTTCAACTACAGGCGGAACGGACGAGGACGTCAAAGTCAGAATCGGAAAAGCAAGACAGGCATTCATTAGCCTGAAACCAGTGTGGAGATCTTCTGCACTCAGCATGTGGAACAAGATACGGATTTTCAGCACCAACGTCAGTCAAGTCAGTGCTTCTGTATGGTTCAGAGACCTGGCGCGTCACCAAAGAGATTTCCAATAAACTACAGACATTCATCAACAATTGCTTACGCTGGCTCGCTACTGAAGATCAGGTGGATTGTCAGGAAGAATAAGCAACAAGGAGCTCTGGGAACGAAGCAACCAAGAACCTATCACGCAACAAATATGCAGGAAGAAGTGGAGATGGATTGGGCATGCACTGAGAAGGCCGACTGAGGACATCACGCGTCAGGCCCTCGAGTGGAATCCCATGGGAAGCGACGAGTTGGACGTCGGTGCCAAGGGTGACATGGAGGAGGTCGTGCGAGGAGGAAATGAGAGGTTGTGGGCTGTCGTGGGACCAGGTTCAAAAGATCTCAGAGAACAGAGGTCACTGGAGGTGTGCTACTGAAGCCCTATGTTCCATTAGGAACCCAAGGGACTAATAATAATAATAATAAATCAATGAAAACTACTTCTGCGGAGTAACATGAAATCCTTCTTATTCGCTGTTTATGGACACAACAATAGATGAAATTATGTACGTAGTGTGTCAACAGTGTGGTTGAAACAACTACTGTTTCTCTGCACAAAGCATGTTTAGCCATATGGGGATGTAACTGGAGCAACCAGTGATATACTCACCAGGACTTCGTGTAGCTGGTATTTTAATTCCTCTCTTGAACAGATATCTGAATTCACCCATTTAGGTAACAATGTATCATTGCAGTCACGTGGATGATAACGTTTTGCTCGTGGTGGCACAAATTATACGTCTACACTGTTCGATGTCTTCAAATAACCCTTTTTTAATATCAATTTTTTGATGAAACATGAAACTGAAAACAGATTTCACATCTTGGGTTTCAGTTTAGGATAGGAAAGTGACGTTACAGTCAAGAAAAAGATACATAGAAATTACTTAGTCGTTGGTCAGTAACTCAAGTACAACAACTTTATACTGTCAGTTACAAAGAAGGTTTAGTTACGATATTCTTCAACAAAACTATGCTTATCTAGCAAACCGAAGAAATTTTCTGTTAAAATTCTTATGTAAGACAGACACCATGAGTTTATTCCCGATCTGTTGGGAAAATTAAACTAATGACTTTTGAGAGGAAACTAAGCATCCAAAGGAGATATGATATCAGGTAGAAAAATTAATAAATGGTACGGTAAAATGAGTTTTTTTCTGACAAGTAGATATCAGTTTGCAACTTTTTTACTAGTTCACATGTCTATTGTGGAGAAGGATAGACAGGAAAGTTCAAGAAATTTGTCTTAGAAGTAGAATGAAGTTTTCTTATGAGTGTGATAACCAGGGATCTAGGGGAAACTAAATATAATGTAGCTGTCTTCCAGTACTTCAAGTTAGTAGACAGATTTCAACGAAGCCTTTACAATCAGATATTTTTGACCTGAACTTAATACACACAAAGCGATTGGGAATTATCATCATATACCCTAGTAATTTGGTCTTTTTAATTGCGTGTAGTTGATGAATACTCATGAAATAGAAGGATTCTATGATATTCTGTAAGACTAATTGTTTTCTTTTGTTCAAAACCGTCAATTTAGTTGCAGTAAAGCAGTGTAGCGATGATCATTTTTATTCCTGACTAATTTTATGGAAAGTGACATCTTAGATGACGAAAGGTTTGTAATTAAAAATTCTGTTACAACCAATCTTAGAATAATAACAGCTCCGTAGGAATGCCTTCAATCGCAACTTTAAAGAATTTCCATCGTTTCAAATTCAGTTATGACAGCGGTCTATCCTATCGTTTTCTATTATGATTCACTTCCATTCCTTGAACAACGTTTACACTGAATTATGTAAGCATGTTTATAGTTCTGCATCTCATCACTTCTTTGAACTTGGCTTTTCTCTCCTAGAAACTACAGATTACAACAGAATTGAAAAATGAAGATGAATGTAACACCAAAGAAACTATCAGCTTAAAAGAACATCATGCAGTTAAATCTTCGTTCCAAGTCAGTGCTTATTGCATGTTTTCAGTGTTCGGATTGATTTTGTTCAAGAATGTTTTAGCATTTACATAATTGGGCTACTGGTCATTGAAATTAATCGAATTTACTTGTCATGAGTTAGATTTGGTCATTTATCTGGTTGATGGGTTTGAATCGAATTTCCGGAAAGGTGTTAGGCACACCATAACAAGAAGTGATAAAATTGAAACCTTTGAATTGAGACCTACCTAACAATTACCTCAGTTTCCTGGAAGTGTGTTCAGCCTATCAAAGATCACTTTGTTGTTATCCATCAGGCATGGATTTCAAGATAACGATTTCTAATATTAACTAGCATTACGACTTTCTTATTTTTTACCTCAGAGATAATGATAAGAAGTTTACGATGCAATACAAAACATTTTGTATATGTGATAAAGGGAAGAACTTTATTGTTTTTGTTGACTTTAAAAATCACATATTATTCCTGTTACACAAGACATAAACTTTTTGGGGTAGTGATATCAGAAGTTGAATTTGTGGCCTAATGAGAAAGTTATTAAACTTCTAATCACAGTTGAGATCTCTAACTAGCCGTACAATGCTGTTCTATCAGTACTGTTTTCTCTCCTGCAATATATTCTGTACATAGGTTTATCTCACCCTTCATTTTCCTTCACACCATTTCATGAAAAAACTCAGGTCTTATACTTGAAGTTTACTTACGCAGTGCGGAGTTCATACGATGATAGCTTATTCAGATGCGAACGTTTTTGCGAACATATTACTATGCATTATTATAGACTGAACTGGTTTTGTCGTTCATCTTTTCCCTTTCTTCTACAAAAGTGGAAATGATATAGAGGATACTGGACGTTTAAGATTACATCGCTCAGCATAGTGGTCAAAATAGGGAAGGTAAGAAATACTGGCTGAACGAAAAATGGTATACATTACTCCGAAGATGGTAAAGTTAACCACTGGTTATAAAACGACTGAGTATCATCTATTATGAGACTGCAAATACACGTTACCAGAATGTTAACTAGATTATAATATTGTTTAAAGCGCATGGGATCGTAAATGTATTCTGAACATAAAAAGATTCTTGAGTAATTTTTATTGTGAATAGTTTGAACCATTGTAAATTCTTAATAGTTTTAATTTTGCTATTTTAAATAAATTCTCCCAGTTAATTAGTGAAACGACCTGAGATCTGAGAAAGGCGAATTCAATTTTTCTGTCTACAATTTTTCTAACAGTAATAGGCTTGTGTTTTTATCTTTACCACAGAAGAAATTGTATAATATCATCGTACTTAATCCCATCATCTGCTAGATATTTTGGTTTCAACAGTATCATTTTTAGGTTTTCTTATTCTGTTGAAGAATTTCTACTTGGTATAGATCTTAGGATTTATGAAAAGTCCCATCTGAGTATACCAACATCGTGTTATAAAGTGAATCTGCATGAGAATAGTAGATAAAGACTTTACAAACACGTTTATTTATTTCTGCTGCGTTGTAACTCTCGGTTTTTGAGCTTGTATTATTCACGGTATACAGCGTTATTGAAAAATGAAAGTTCATCTTCCTGCGCTTTATTAAAAATTTTAGTATGCAAAATAGGTTACTTTTTAGATTATAACTCCTATTACAAATCAATACATACATGTTTTATCGCCTCTTCTAACCTTATTTTTTACAGACACGAATAAATGAACTTGAAAAAGAACTAAGAGCGTATGAACCCATCAAACGCCGCATGACTTGCGAAGCATCGACAATCACTGACCTCATAACATGTAGTCCTAAAAAGGAAGATGATTCATATATCAAGACTCTTGAGGTAAATTTAACTATTTTCTAAGTATCTCAAATGGTTGAGGTATACTCGTATTACTTGCTGGAGTAAATTTCTGAGTTATAACTTACCAAGTCGTATTCAAGTGTCAAAAAGTGATCTCCAAGTTTTTCGATATCAATTAAAATTCGTTTTATAACTATCAAATATTGTCCATATTTGCTTAGTGTTTCTCGGGGAAGGTTGGATCTTTTGTTTAGTGCAGACAGTGTTTTTTTCTGATTCAATCGATTTCATCTCATGAAGGGAAAGTCCGTAGATTAAAGGGAAAGGCATCTGAAATCTAATAGTTGATTACTGCTGGTTGACACTTGGGATTCATTTCTTCAAAGAATGTGATACTTCTTAATTCTCCTAGCTGATTTCTTAACAATAGTATATATATATATATATATATATATATATGTATTTATACCCAGTGTTAATCTGGACTTAAAATAGGTTAGGAAATTATGTCAACTAAAGTTAGTGGGAAAACAAGCTACACGAGAACGAGAGTCATTCATTAAAAAATTGTCTAGTTGGTGAGTTCAGTTCCACATTTTAGTAAAGCGAGGACAAAACGTTTAAGAAAATATGATGAATTCAGAATATATTGTCATTTGGTAGAATCTGCTTGATTTTTCGGAAATTGTGTCAACAAAATTTCGGTGCCATGTGATGACAATGAGTTTGGCAACTGAGCTAAATTTATCTTTTCTTTATCTATACTACTACAAAGTCAAATGTAGTACAGATGAAGTGTGAAGTTGTGTTGCTATTTGTATTCGCTTCATTCTTGGAACTCACTGATAACTAGTCAACTACAGATAATTACAACTTGACCACTTCCCCCCCCTCTTTTAGTAAAGCCATGGAAATAGTAAAATTTATTACTTAACGTAGAACATAAGTTAGTCAATGTAGATCACTGAATAAAGCGGTCTGTCTTGGCAATTTTAGATGATTTAAGGATGCCTAACACTAACCTAATGAGTGTACAGTTTTAGGTTGATTACTGAGTTGAAAGACAGGCTCACATTAATTACTACTCCTTTTAAAATTTACATGTAACGTCTACAAATATTAAATTGTCGCCGTAAGTGTCTTTCTTCACCTTGAAATACTGAGTTGATTCTCTGTATGTACCCAACCTGGAAAAGGCTAGTACACTAAACAGTTAGATACAATAAATTTTAAAGTTTCATTATGCGACCTGGTTGTTTAAGTGAAAGGTGGTAGTGTAACACTCGAATCAAACTTGATTTTAATTTTTGTTGCTTGTAGTAAACGAACATTTATTATCATCATTTTCTGTTCATTACTTACGGCCTTCCTTTTCTACGTTACACTACATTTTATTCTAACTTTTCTTGGCACTTTCACTGGACAGTATAGCAACGCGATTAGATAAATAGGATGACAAGTTTGAGTTATATATATATATACTTAACCCACAAAATATGTCTACTTCAAACGTAGTATTCACCATGGTTTGAAGTCATTTGTAGAACCACGCGATACTTTAAAGTATAAGACAGCTACTTCGTCCTAGTGTGGGACTCCTAAGCAGCATGCTCCCACAATCTCATCAGGAGTCGACCCCAGGTTCTTTAGGTCTCACGGCGAGCATATTGCCGGTCAATCACTGGGTAGGAATCCAGTAGTGCACATTTTGCTGTTGCTATTGATTCTCGGCATAATGCGACCATCGCCTAATTATTCTCTAGATATTTGTCCTCAGACCTTACTTAGTTGACCCCCTAGGTAATTTCTTTTCGTTAGAACTCCAGAAAATCCACCTTGAAGAATTTCACCAATAAGCACTAGATAGTTATCATATTTGGGGGTTTGGGGATATCGAATTGTTTCAAATAAGCATTCATCACAAACTGACATCATTTGGAGAACCATCGAAAACATGGCAGAACTGGACATCGGCTTCGTCCGACTAATTTGTATCATGAGGATGCATGTAAAAGAAACAATACTGTTAGCATCAGACGATTACACTCATGTAAAATTATTACTGTTTGTTATTAGATGGAATAAAGCACATAACTTACTGTTGTTGAACTACTAGCCCATTCAGCAACAAAAGCGCTTTTCATTTGAATGTAGATATTAGCGTTTCAAAAATGTTACACTCATCTTTGGTATTTCTTAGCCTGATGTGAGTTTTTCTGTATTACAAGGAAGTAGTCCTATGACTAATTCCTTTCTTCATCACTTGTTATAGGAGAGAAATATGGTTGCTCTTTTTCTTTTCCGTTTAATCTCTGTCTTGGTCTCTTCATCGGTTTCCATGCCAGTTTTCAGGAACTCTTTTTTTTTCAACTGTTTTTAGGCAGAGGACTCAGTGTGGTTTTGTTTTTCCTCACCTAAAGATGCAGATTCAAAATCAAATTGAAACTATCGTAGCTAAAGAAGAAGAGTTGAACAGATTGAAGAGGCAACTAATGAACCGAAAAAAATATGGAGATTTTGGTGTTCCATCTTTGTCAAAATCAGCTGAAAAAGATTATGAGATACAGTGAGCCTATTATCAATTGTATTTTGTTGTTGATTTTATTTTCTTGAATTGAAAGAGGAAACATGTGTCACACATTTAATATTTCCAAACTTATGTTACATGGTGAGTTTGTACAAGTCAAGAATAACAAGATTTTCGTAAAATAGTGAATGAAGATCTTAAGGTTGTATTATTATTTGCCCCTTGGGTTCTTAATGGAATATAGGGCTTCAGTAGCACACCTCCAGTGCACTCTCTTCTCTGCAATCTTTTGAACCTGGCTCCATGACAGCCCACAACATCTCATTTCCTCCTCACAAGATCTCCTCCATGTCACCCTCGACACCGACACCCAACTCATCGCTTCCCATTAGGGTTCCACTCGATTACCTGGCTCACCTGACACATGATGTCCCCAGTCGGCCTCCTCAGTGCATGCACAGTCCAATCCATCTCCACTTCATTCCAGTGCATATTTGTTGACCGACGGGTTCTTGGTTGGTTCGTTGCAAGCCAGCCAGAGTTCCTTGTTGCTTATTCTCATTATTCTGGCCATCTGATCTAATGTTGAGTAAGGAGCCAGTGTAGGCAGCTGTTGATGAATGTCTCTAGTTTGATGGAAATGCCTTTCGTAACGCACCAAGTCTCTGAAACATACAGAAGCACTGACTTGACTGAATTGGTGTTGGAAATCCAGATCTTGTTGCACATGCTGAGTTGAGTGCAGAAGATCTGCACACTGGTTTCAGGTTATTGAACGCCAGTCTCGCTTTTCCGATCCTGACTGGCTTTGACGTCTTCGTCTGTGCCTGTGGCATCTGTAGTTGGAACAGTGCTGCCTAGATAGGTGAAGGAGGTTACTTCCTTTCAGTTTCTTCCGTTGAGGGTGATTGCAGCTTCTTGTTGTTGTTGGTGGTGGTGGCGTTGGTTGGGTATGTTCATCACCTCTGTCTTATCTACGTTCACTTGAATTCCCGTCTTCACTGCCCTGCCTTGACTCTTCTGTCAACTTGTTGGATTTTGCTTGTATATATTCAAGTTTGTGTGACATTACACACAAGTCATCGTTGGTGAAATCCAAATCTTCTAGGTTATTTTCCGCGGTCCAGTTAGCGTATCCCCATCTTCTCGCTTCCCACTGTTTGTTGCATGATCCAGTCCAGTCCACTACAATCAGGAATATCATGGGTGATAGCAGACAGCCTTGTCTTACTCCTATCTTCACTATAATGGCATTATTGAGCTTCCCATTGTGAAATAGTTGGCATGTGGCGTCTTCATATAGCTGTTGTTGAGTGAGATTGATGAAGGTTTGTGGTATTTCGTAGTGTTGAAGCAGCTGCCTGCCAAATAACTTGTTGGTCGACGCTGTCAAAGGCCTTTTCAGAATGGATGAAGTTGACGGACGAGCTTAAGTTGGCGTTGAAAAATTGAGAAAGAATGATTTAATAGTCATATTCAAGACTAATAAATGTTCTGATATCAGAATACCTTTATTAAGCAAGCAAAGGAGATTGTCAGAAATTCAGTTAGGTTAAGTCGACGTTGTAAAACTTTTAGACGTAATGAATAGACAGAGGGCATGAAATCAAGTTCGCTTCACACTTGCCATCACCGTCAAACAGTTCCCACCTGAATTTGTGAGTAGAAGGAAAACATGAATTGCCTTTCACTGCTCTGGTTACTCATAATGTATTTTCAGTTTCTTGTTATTTTATTTTGTTTACAGATTCATTGACTTACACTCACGATTTTATTCTTTTTATCTAAATTATCAATGCAATCCTTGAATTATTAATGATAATCTACATCTCTATTTCTTCAAGCCTCCAGAATTTCAACTCTTATTACAAATTAGTAATAATTAATTTCCCCTATGGCAAACAAATCTAATCCCTTCTTTCTTGAGGCTCCTGTTTTTTTTGTCCAATCGATTCTCTTTTTCGCATCTCAACAACTAAGGTATATCATTTATTGGTTACTCACAAGACGCGTTTTAAGCTTACGATGTTCGATGCTGGTAAGGAACCTTAAAACAAAGTGAATTGATTTTATACTGTTAAACCTATTATCCCTGTCATATTCATGGTTGTGTAAAGAAGTAACAGTATGAAATGTTTGATTCTGTATTTTGAATTAATGAGTAGGATGGTTCCTAGGAAAATGATTGATCAGATTAATTTGTCCTGTGAACATCTTAATCCTGACTTACGAATATCCTTCACAATTTCTAAAATACTTCTATGATACTTTTATCGCAGACTCAAATCAACCTAAGAATAGTTGAAAATCAAAACTAAGTCTACAGCCGTTTCTCCCTAGCTCGAAACTTATGAGTATTGTCTACTCAAGACCTTATCGAACACAGTAGCCTTCATATGAGGTAACAACCAAAATTCAATGTATGTTAGTTGGTCAACAAGAAGTTAGTCGGTGTTTAAGTTCAATGTGTACAGATATAATATGACTGGAAGCCATAAGAGTGAAATCTTAGTTGATTAGGTAGGTGTACTAAGATTTTACACTCTTGTGTAAATAAATTCAATCAGTGGATGAGCTTATAATAATTTCACAGAAATAAAAAGTATCCATCATAGTTAGTTGAGCTCATCAGAATAAAATGGAAGTTTTATGTGACTTGAAACCCTTACTAACGATTCAGACAGACATCTAAACATTAAAATTGGTACAGAAGTTTTTTAGTTCAAGCTATTATAATTCATAGCAGCTTATAAATAAGTTTGCGCAAAACCAAGGATATTTAAGTAGATGAGAGAGTATGAAAGGAGAGGGAACAAATAAATAGACAGTAAAATGTTCAAAATCACGAAGAGTATCCGCAATGACTACATTATGACCAAGTAGCCTATGCTTACAAAACCTCAAAAGGATAGCCAAAGATTTAACATTCTGGTGTCATCTGATGTCTGGTTGACGTTTATCTTTATTCTAACTTATGCTTCTGTCGGTTAGCATCGTTCATCAAAGTACAGAGTGATTTGTAATGCACAATTTTGTTCATTGAGACTGAGTCAGTAAAAACTACTAACTTCATTGATTGACTTGTGGTCCTTTGCTAGTAATGTGTGTCTGACCTCAGCAATGTATGTATAGTATTTCCACCACAAGTGTGCAGCTCTATGAAGACAACGATGGTCAGAAAACTGTAGCCTTCTCATGTTCTATGCTTCCATTACTAATAACTGTGACAAGAGATAATGTAGTCGAACAGTAGATTTCGCAAATGAACGGCTAGGTCTTATTTGAGCATTTTGGTTTCGATAGCAGCAGCAAAATGCAAAATATTGGAAAGGAGCTTAGTACTCATCAAATTTAAAGATTTTAAGACATTCAACTGGTAACCTGTACACATAGGCATCCAGTGACAGCACTAACGGAAATATTCGAAATCTCTAACCTAAGTCCTTTTGGAATATCTATAGAAAAGATGAGGTACACCCTTCTTCATTCTATTCCATTGTATTTGCTTTAGCAGAGAAATATATCTCTTATCACCTCTATTGCATACTTAAATCCTTTGATTTTGAAGACATTTCGAACATTTTTTGGTTTTGATGATGGTTCGGAAATTTTTATATGAGTTGATTCTTAAGTGACAAAGATGTTTACATAACGTTTGTGTATTATGCGCATTCAAGTTTGAGTAATATGTTACAATTATACTAGTGCATTGCCCCTGGAGGGCGGCCAACGGAAGTTACAGCTCATTTCCTTTTTGATTGTTCAACTATATAAACAATATTCACAACAATCCGAACACTAATAATAGTTTTATAAGTTAGCATAGAAGTGGAAAAATCGCTAATCCGTGGATTGCAAACATGTTTGGATGGTACCCACACTTATCTTGGGAACTGTTGCTAAAGATTATCATGTGAAAGTCGCTCTAATACACCTTATGAATATGTATTTCTTGTATACATAACTTTCTTGCTAAAAGACTGGACTGCTAATCTTTCAACTACAATTTTTAACACTTATCAGTGATAATCAATATTTGTGTGGTTCAAACCTCTCCTTTATCTGGTAGCTTTGAAGCAAAGTTGGTCGAATTCGTTGTGTCAAGTCTGATGTATGCTGTTGTCTAGTATTCGATGTAGAGTCTTAAATTTGAATACAGAAAGAAACAATATGGAAAGGTTTTGGAATCTAATATTGCTGGTTAGGAGAATTATCGATCTCGAACACGCCCACTTCCTCATAAACTAAAACCTACGCCATTTGGTTTCCACTCGACGGCCTGGTCTAGCATGTAATGTCTCCAAACCGTCTTCTCAGTGTATGCCCAATACATTTTTACTTCTACATATTTTTTTGGCTATGGATTCTTGGTTGGTTCATTGCCAGCCAACCAGAGTTCTTTGTTGCTCATTCTTATTATTCTGGCCATCTAATCTTCAGTTTCAGTATCGAGTGAGCGTAGGCGGCAGCTGTTGATGTGATGATTGTCTGTAGTTTGTTGGAAATGCTTTTCGTAACGTGCCCAGTCGCTCAACCATCACGTAGAAGCACTCACTTACTTGACTGTATTGGTGTTGAAAATCCGGATCTTGTTGATGCTTTATGCTGAGTGCAGTGCAGTAGATCTTCACACTGATCTCAGATTAATGCAGGAAGGCCTGTCTTGCTCTTCCAATCCTGGCATCAAAATTCTCATCTGTGCCACCTCCTGGGGTTAAAAGGGAGAAGGAGATAAGTTCCTCTAGGTTTCTCCCGTGGATGTTGTTGTTGTTAGTTGTGCATCTTCATCACCTCTGTCTTCTCTACCTTCACCTTAAGGAAGTCCCATATTCGCTGCCATACCTCTTCTGTCAACTGGTTGGTTTTCGCCTGCAGATCCTCGAGTTTGTGCGAAATTAGACATAAATCATCGTCAGAGAAATCCAAACCTTCAATGGTCTTCTCATCGGTCCAGTCATCGAATACCCTTCTTCTCCCGCCTCAAGGTTTGCTGCATGATCCAGTCCAGTCGACCATACTCAGGAAGATCATCGGTGATAGTAGGTGGCAAACTTGTCTTACTCTTTACTCTCTTCACTTCAAAGACATCACTGAGCTTTCCATTGTGAATCACTTGTGATGTAGCACCATACAGCATTGCATGGAGCTGTTGAATGAGATTGATTAAGGTTTGTGGTACTCAAACCGTAGCGTTGAAGCAGCATCTGCCAAATTATATCTCGATTGACGCTGTTGAAGGCCTTTCTGATTTCGATGTTGTTTATTTGAGTTGACTGGCATTCTATGCTCTGTTCTATGAGGGTGCGTAGCATTGCGTTGCAATTTGATACACATATAGTTTATTTTTCTTGGAGCCAGTCAGCCTGTTTGTTTCGTAATCCACTTGAATCTAGAGCATCTCTAAGTCTATCCAAGATGATGCGGCTGTTTATTTTTGTTGCTTTGAGTGGACAGGGACAGGGGAATGATTTCGCATCAGTTCTTGCAAAGATCTAGGACAATTAGGTTCTTTGGGAGTTTGAAAACGTAACCTTTCTTCCAATCGGAAGGTACCTTCCCACCTTCCTTCCAAACCTTGTGCACTAGCGGTGTAAGCATGTTCACTGTTGTATCTGCATCTGTTTTCAGTACTTCTAGAGGAACTCTATCTGATCCTGCTGGTTTTCCGGATTTCAAAAACCTTATGGCGTTCACGACCTCACTTTCGCTTTTGTTCACTGATAGTCCTGTGGCATGTCTGCTGGTGGTATTTCTGGACGAGCTGCAGGTGTTGTTGGTGGTGGTAGATTCAAGAGCTTTTTGAAATCAGCCCATCGTTTCCTTTGTTTCTTCTCTTTGGTAACTACATTTTCTTCACTATCCCTCATTCCTTTCATCCGCATTGATCTCTTCCCTTACAGATAGGAGCCTGGTGATTTGGTACAGCCTTATCAAGTCTCTGTCTATCCTACATGCAGCCTGTTCTGCTTCACTTGCAAGTGTGTCATAGAAGTGTCTTTTGTCTATCCATACACTCTTCTTCACTTCCATACTCAGTGTAGTGTTTTATACAGTGTACTCAGTTCTCCGTTTCGTCGTTGATTCCTGCACTCCAGTGCACTGCATTGGTTCATCTTCTGCTTCACCATCTTCCTCTACATGCTCCATCACCTTCCATGTGTACGTACAGATCCATTCCTTGTCTCCTCCTGTCTCCTCTTGTCTCATCTCGTCTTGTCTCCTCTTCCTTCCTAACACCGTTATGCAGGTTTCCTTCCACGACGCTTCCACAACACACTGTTACAGTGTTCTTACACGCAGGTTTCTCAGGCATCTTGCTCAATGTCTACCACACTTTCCTCATTGCTGACGTGGAGATTGTCTTCTTAGTTTCGTCCTTCAGTTACTTTCTGTTCCCAGTGTTCAACTTCAACTGTCGTCGTCTATCATCACCAACTTGTTTGACGGCTTTCAACTTGATATTGAGGGCAGCTTCCTTGCACTGGATATTGAGTGATGTGATTGGTGTGAACCTACATCTGCTCCCCTTCTTCATCTGATCTCATCTAATCTGTTCTGATTTGATGTGATGTGATGTGATCTCGTGTCGAGTAGGCTGACTGCATCTCCACTTTCTTCACATCCATGCGAAGTCGATATGATGTTTAGTGTAGTGTGTCTGGTGTTTGATGAAATCAACTGCATGTCACTGCCTTGTGGATATCCTTGTAGCTGTACACACTGCCTTCAATCACTGAATCGTTGAATGCACACGAGTCTGCAAACAATTCCCCATTCTCATTCATCACTTCACCGAGTGCTTCTCGATCCATGATGGGTGAGATCTCTTGCTGTGTTTTCTGCTCTCAGTTTGGTATTCATGTCACTCCACCCATTACTATGAAGTTTGATGTTGGCAAGTGTGGTGGGGTCCTGTCTAGTGCTGATTGTAGTTGTCTGTCGAATTCCTCCTTCCTATTTTGATGTGCATTGTTTGATGGTGTGTGGCTTAGCATTGTATGATTGTGACTTTCCTTCTTTTTGAGTTGAATCTTGTTGTCATGATCCTGGAGGATGAGATTTGTTCCCACTGCTTGAGAGCCCTAGTCGCTGTTGGAGACATCACGATAGCCACTCCAAAATTCAGTGTGCCCGTGGTTGTTTTCTGTTTGACAAAATCGGACTAGATTACTGACTGTTCAGTTGACAGTTGGGATAGCCCACTTCCATTCCACCTAGTTTTGAAGATTCTTAGCTCTTCTATGTTCTACCTTCTCATTTATCTTGCAAACTGGGCAGATTTGCTAGTTAGCTTCAAACATTTTGCAGACATTCCATGTCACCATTCTTACGTTTGCTTTCATCGAGAGAAGACATCGATCGATTGGCTTTCCGAAGGCTTTCGTCACCCTGATTCCAATGAATAATAAGCGTGGTCTTATGTTTTATACTTTTTTTTATACTTTGAAGTTTGTTTAGTGATTGGATTGGTTTTCCGGGATAGGGTTGCTACCCGTATGTCCAACCTTCCCTCTTTATCATGGCTTAGTACCGGATGGTGACTAGGGAACTAGTTACCTTAGCGAGATTACTTCAGTTGACATACTTATATAAATTGCAATACCATACGCAAACTTAAAACAGTTTTATTGTGATTAGAGTTTCATGCCTGTTACGTCAACAAATTCGATTTCATAACTGTAGAATATCACTAGAAGTTAGTGGAAACAATATTTGACTGTTAATATTTTGAAGCATTTAAAAGAATTTTGGTTCAGGCACTCGAGTTGCAGTGGACGTGATGAATAAAAACAACCTACCCCAAAAATCTTTTGTTTTACCTGCTAACTCACATAACACTTTCTTCCACCTTTAAACCTCCGATTTCCCATTAGATTCACCAGTCTGTTTAACCATAATTCATCATTTACCTTAATAACTTAGGATTGCATCCGTCTTGATGAGTTTTCTTTTTTATATTCTTAAGATTACGTAATTATCTTTCCTATCTCCTGATTTACAATCAATGGTGAATTTTATTCAAAAATATCTTTTTCAACATTCCTTTCCTGTTACCACGTGAATATTATATTTATATGCGATTATACAGTTTGAGAATGACATTACGGAAAGGAGTGAGTCTTCCCTTAGGTTTTTTTTCCTAGTCACGAATGTATCGACAATCGTTCTAGCTTCTGGAAGGATTTTTATGGCTAATAATCTATTTCATCTCGTTAAAATGTACCAAAAGAAACAATACTGCATACACTGGTCACTTTAACTAGTGTAATGTGGTTTTTTGAAATCTTTTTCAGCTATTGCAGTTCATTTTTGCCCAGTAATGAGATTTTTTTTCCCTCTTATACAGAGAGTTATTCGACACGGTGTGTGCTGCTGAAAATGTTTGTAAAGACCATGAAGCTAAGTACTGGCGTAATATCGCCTTCAGATTGAATTGTGAATTGAAAAATCTTCAAAGTGATGCCAACACGCTTGTAAATATTCTAACACAACTACAGTATCAACATCAGAAATGATTACAATTTTCCCGAAATATGAATATTATTTGATATAACTGTCTTTTTCCTATTTTGTTATATAAGTAGTAGGTAAAGATGAACTTTGACAACTTTCCAAAGGTTATTCTATTAGGCTTTGGAATACAGTAGGTATGTATATGTCAGTTTATGAAACCAAATTATTAGTTACTCATTCTGAAGTGAATTTATCAGGATATGAATTTGAAACTCATTATGTTGATATCTACATGAGGATTAGAAGTGGAATCCAGGACACACGTTTTGTCTTATTTGAGAGTCCTCATCTGAATATACCTGTCTGTCAGTGATTCATGTTGTCCTGACTAAAACTCAAACGCATTACCCATTGCTTCAGACGTCAAATCACTGCACATGGGGGATGGTTCTGGTACCCTGGGGGCCTAGAGGATAAAGCTTTGGCGTTTGAAGCAATAAGTATCATTTTTCAGTCTCAGTTGGGACAACATCACTCACTGAGGGCCATCCATATGACGACTCAAAAATGTGACGGAACGCAGTTACTGGGTTTCCCTGATAAATAACAAGAAATTAAAATAATGAGTAAACAGGCAGTATCGAGGCATCCGCATAGGAGCCGATCTGTCACTAGACGTGGAACAATTCAACCCTGTATAGCAACGGAGAATTACCAGAATCCAAAACTGAAACTCATTGGTTGACAGTTGACTGCCTAAACCAACAAGGTGTATCACCATTAATATCTGATTTACCCTCTTATTACCATCATGACAAGTCAGAAACTATTCGTTTTCGGAATATGAATTACTTTGAACCGAAAGACAGACAACTTTTCAGACTGTACTAACAAAAAGTATGCATACTAAATGATGGTTACTTTATTGAATACAGTTTTTTGAACTAAATAGTAATGAACGATAAATTGGGCTTCAGAGAAATTAGTTAAGTGCTTTGTTCTCGATTCATTGATATGATTACCGATGCAAATCAGCACACAAATCGTGTTAAAGATTATGGCTAAGATATGATTGAAATTTCTGTCACCAAGAAAACCAGCCTAGAAAACACTTGGACCAAATTACTTACTGCTCAATGCAATGGACTGAGCGTTCTGTAAACTTATATTTGCTTCTTATTAGCTTTTTTTAGCCTTCTGTGAGGCTACATTGGACCTGTGATTACAATGAGAACTATTCTGATCGGAGGTAAACTGTTTTTAACGACTATAGATTCAATATGTCATTAGTCACGTCTGTTTCCCACTGTCAAAAGTCATTTGTATCATAATGTGCCAAGCTAATAACGATGTGACATAGGCAACATAAAATGGTGAAAGCTCTATTATGTGAAGCAAGAAGATAAACTTCATCATCATACTATTTAAGTTCATAAACTGGATCAAATTTTTCAGAGTACAAAGTAAGAATAGTTTTCTGTGTTATGAAAAAGTGAACAGTGATACACGAAAGAAGCATATCTTTGATATGTTCTCTTTAAACCTTCAAGCGATAAGATCGAACTAGGTGTAAGCAGTCCAGACTTCTCAATGTCAGGATAACCTATATATGCATATCAACATAGATTGCTCATTGACGAGTAGCCTGTTTCATCCTGGCTGGTTTTAAGTGGTGACCAAACTCGATCAATCATTTTTGCAATGTAGGCTCCAAGCTGGAAGATCCATCATCACACTGCAGTCTGACTGGTATTGAATAACTGAAGTTGATTAGCAGGCAGTTCTAAAACTAAGTTTCTTGCTTATTTAAGGTCGTCAGCAAAACCTGTCTGCAACCCACAGGGAATTGATGACCTTCCAAGAATTAAAACTGATATCAACCAGCGCTACAACCAGAAGTGCTACCGGTAAGTTATTCGGGAAGATACGTCATTCTGGAGAACGGCATCTCTGAACTGAAAACTCTCTACCTGTCGCATACAACTGAGCATATTTATGTCAAATGTGATGGAAAGTTTAATGTCGTTGTGAATACAGATTCAAACGTATAGACGATAATCACAAGAAAAACCCAGCATTAGTGAAGGAAAATTTGCTATCATCATACTTTAAGGCTTTAGGGTGTGTCTGGTGAGCCGTTACGTAATGTAGAAAGTAATATGAATTAAGTAAAGTATAATGCAAGTGAGATGCACTGTTTATCATGAAAAGCTAGCAAATAATACAACAGTTCAAAAACCCCAAGCACTCTCAACGATCAGTCTTTAAGACTAGCGAGATAAAACAAATATTTGCATATTTCCGCTACCCAGATTGTCGAAAAATGTCTTCCAATCTCTTCGTTGTTGATGGTTGGGTTAAGAAATATTCCGAAGAAATGGCATTTATTTTATGATGCTTCGTCTTAACTCGTACTTATTTAGTTCTAAAGTGCGCTATGAAATCCCACGATCGGCTCGTATGGCTAAAACGCTAAATTTTTAAATTAAAGACAATCTAGCTTCATCCTGTATTGGGTCCCATTGATAAAACTACAGTTCATCAACTATAGCTGTTATGCGAAGTGAAACTCTGTGTTTGGTGGACAAAAATCATATTTTCTATTCCAATACGACGTACATATGGCAGCATAAATTCGTGACGCCAATATCTTAATTATTATTCGCCTTAATTATCATATTTTATTAATATTTATCCCTTGAGTTATTAATGAAACATAGGGCTTCAGTAGCACACCTCCAGTGAACTCTCTTCTCTGCAATCTTCTCAACCTGGCTCCATGACAGCCCACAACATCTCATTTCCTCCTCACAAGATCTCCTCCATGTCACACTCGACACCGACACCCAACTCGTCGCTTCCCATGCGGGTTCCACTCGATTACCTGGCTCGCCTGACACATGATGTCCCCAGTCGGCCTCCTCAGTGCATGCACAGTCCAATCCATCTCCACTTCATTCCAGTGCATATTTGTTGACCGACGGGTTCTTGGTTGGTTCGTTGCAAGCCAGCCAGAGTTCCTTGTTGCTTATTCTCATTATTCTGGCCATCTGATCTAATGTTGAGTAAGGAGCCAGTGTAGGCAGTTGTTGATGAATGTCTGTAGTTTGATGGAAATGCCTTTCGTAACGCACCAAGTCTCTGAAACATACAGAAGCACTGACTTGACTGAATTGGTGTTGGAAATCCAGATCTTGTTCCACATGCTGAGTTGAGTGCAGAAGATCTGCACACTGGTTTCAGGTTATTGAACGCCAGTCTCGCATTTCCGATCCTGACTGGCTTTGACGTCCTCATCTGTGCCTGTGGCATCTGTAGTTGAAACAGTGCTGCCTTTACAGGTGAAGGAGGTTACTTCCTTTCAGTTTCTTCCGTTGAGGGTGATTGCAGCTTCTTGTTGTTGTTGTTGTTGGTGGTGGTGGTGGTGGTGGCGTTGGTTGGGTATGTTCATCATCTCTGTCTTGTCTATGTTCACTTGAATTCCCGTCTTCACTGCCCTGCCTTGACTCTTCTGTCAACTTGTTAGTTTTCGCCTGTAGGCCGGCCTTTTCAAAGTCGATGAAGTTGAGGTTGAGTTGAGTTGACTGCCATTCTATACTCTGTTCTATGATGATGCGTGGTGTAGCGTTGCAATTTGGTCGGCACATGATTTGTACTTCCTAAATCCAGCTAGTCAGCCTGTTCCGGTCGTAGTTTTGAATCCCTTGCATCCTTTAGTCTCTCCAGGATTATGTGGCTTAATATTTTACTTGGGATGAACTGGAAGGGAGTATGATTCCTCGTCAATTCTTGCAAAGGCTTAGGTCGCCTTTCTTTGGGAGTTTGACAATGTAGCCATTCTTCCAGTCGCCAGGTACCTTCCCCTTTTCCACGCCTTCTGCAATAGTGGTATTGTCAGCATGTCCGCTGTTGTCTCTGCGCCTGTTTTTAGTGCTTCTGGTGGGATCCCGTCTGGTCCTGCTGCTTTCTCACATTTCAGTAACTTTATGGTTTTCAGGACTTTGACTATAGTTGAAGTATTTGTTTACTTATAGTTGTGTGGCTGTGCTGTAGGTGGTATTTCTGGACGAATTGCAAGTGGTGGTGGATTCAAGAGCTTTTTGAAGTGGTCGTCCTATCATTTCCTTTGTTTCTCTTCTTTGGTAATTAAATTTCCCTCATTATTCTCCTTAATAGTTGTATTTAACCGTTAATCTCGTTCTATAGAAGTCAACTATAAGCAGCATGTTGACGTATACATTACTCATTTCATATCCAACTAATACTCCTGATGCATATATGGAATTCAGCATCTTTGCGTCCGTTAGTTCTCCATTACCACATTAATGTTCTTATCTTAGTGATTCAGTGCATGTTAGTTACTTACAGAATATAATCAATGTAGGGATTGACACAAGACTCTACTAGTCAAATCTTCCATATCTCATAATCAACTGAACAAGAGTTATGACGCAATGGAAAAGAACATTGCGGACAGTAAAAGAAACAAGAAAGAAATCAGTTGAAACTGAACGAGTAAGGTATCGAGATGTAATGAACAGCACGATATTCGCAGATCCCAGGCAGTTCATTGGTGAATGAGACCGTGTAAAAAGCTGTTTATTTTATTTATCTTGTGGATGCCTTTCAAGGAATTCATATCTGTGTGTTGTATTTGTTAATTTCATGAACTTGTGATCTATCTTGTTTTGTAGTGAGATTATATGTCTGTGCACTGTCACCTATTGTTAATAGTTATACGTATGCCTAACATGAGATTTAAACGATGGAGGTTATTCCAAACTTTGTGTTAACCCCTTAGGATCAAGTCCATTAAATTCCAAAAATAAAACAAAGTAATCTCTTTAAGTGAAGTCACATAAAAGGTGTGATTTCCCTAGACACATCAGTAAAAGAATTAAATTGAAAAGAGGGTGATGGATACCCCTGACGAACTTCTCTGAATGCGTTCCCTTGCAAGACAAAATACCAAAAGTCCCTACCACAATCAACAGTGTCCAAGTTGAAAGATAAGTAATGCAACACACTTGTCAAATATATTTTTTGGTGACTGACACTGGCATATGACAGCTCAAATAACCAAATATTACTTAGACTAATCGAAATGATTAGTACCCGGCCTATTAGTTCCTGAGTTTGGTATAAAGTGAACCTAGCTTAGAATATGCTTAGTTCTCTGACTTTGTTTGAGTATATAATTGCATTTCGGTACCAATCAAATATGGATCCTAAGTTCTTGGGATTATATTGATCATGGTGATTTCTTGGAAGTTATTACACAAACGTTTCTCTAATTTTTAGTCTTAGCTAGAATCATCAGCGATAAAGACCACATTTGTTGGCAAATGTCTTTCTGTCTTACTTTAGAAAACGCTTTGTCTTATTATTTGTTCGAGAGTATAACTTTCAAATGTTTCTGTTACTAGGCTGTGAGAAAATGCTACTCATTTTCATCCAAGTAATATACAACCTTCTTGAACTTTATAGGATTTAGGCTCCTGAATTCATCATCTCATTCAAACCGCTGTTCCACGTTAGATAGCTCAACTACAGTTTTATAACATTCAGTATGTTCTGTCCAGTGGCGTATTTTACGATTATAACAACAGTCACTTTACCTAAGATTTAATGCCATCAAATGTCTCTAGTTCCACCTTACCACTCCTTATAGCTCTGAAGAAAGTTCTGTTACTGTATATATTTACTATCTGCTTGTTTTTTGCCTTCACCACTTCCAATCATATCATAGATTGTTCTTCAGTTTACTACTGCATTAAAAAACTAGCCACAAAGACCAAAATGATTGAATTGAATGACCAAACTTTAGTCATGTGTGTACATCCAATAAACAGCATTTGTTCTAGCTGAAGATTTCAGAGTCCTAAGTAGTAAAATTTACTGTCGATGTCTACACTGGGTGACAGCATCGGTAGTCCCCATACTCAGCCTTTTAGGCAGCTTCATTACGCCAAGTTAACTATAATGCAAAACAGGAATTTTAACAAAAATGGATGAGTAGAAGTAAAGTCACAATGAGTATTCTGGTAGTACGGAAAGATTCATAAAATTTAGACGACAGTGTATATGACTGACTTTAAACAATAAGCGTAAGATCTTTACATAAATTGAAAAGCTTTGTGCATACAATCAAGTTTCATAGAAGTGCATTCTACAGCATCCGCTGTCACCACATGTCACTCATATTTTTGATATGTTATGTAATGAGTGGAGTGAATTAGTACGTTTTACTACACCTCCATTTTCAATCCAGTTTTTTCGAAAATTGAAGCTTAGTGTTACTGCTAATTTGAGTTTTTTTACACTATGAAGGACTTTCAGAGGTGAGTTCAATATATTATCGAACTAGACAAACTTTAATTCCAGTATACATAAATGACCATCTGAAGTAGGCTAAGAGATCTCATTCTAACCAACCATGGTGGTTAGCAAGATTGAAATACTAAACTATTGTTTCCTTTGTTAACTACTAAAATCATCAAAATTGTACCCCAATTGATGAGACCAGAGAGGCTCAATCTTTAAACTATGTGCATTTTGGCGGAGCGTTTAAGTTTGGTTACTTAGCTAGTGAGTGACTGTGGCAGTAAATTGAATATATTGTTAATTGTCTTGACAAAAACAATGATTTTAAGCTGACCATAATTTAATGTTGTGCAATTTTGATTCAAAAAATAAATACCAAAAGATTTGTGCAATAAGATACCTTGCTGTATCATTCGATCTATTGAATTTTAGGTCTACAAACAATCGCTTTCATGAAATATTCCCTATGACATAAGTACCATCAAAATTTATATATAATTATGTTGTCCTATGGGGAATCAACCAATTTTTAGGTTGTAATTAGGCAAATGAAACACAGAACCTGCTGATTTGTGCAGAAAAATGTTCTTAAGTTTCGAAAAATCATTGTGCATGCCTTTCAAGTTAGTAATGAGCGGTTATTTGTGAAGTTGAAAAGAACTGTAGTTTTTCTCCAACTGATATCAGTCCATGATGAACTCCAACCTAAAATCAATTATTAAATCTCCACAAGCCAGGTACAATTAATCCAGCGCTCATTGGTAACTAGCTTCAAGAGGCGAGTCCCAAAGTTTCAATGAGAAGTCATGACCAGTGGAGTCAGCCAAGTCGAACATGAAGACAGTTTCTCGACGGCGAAATTGCATGTAGGTCACGCTATATTGTGAACTGACAAAAGTAGGAAATGTGGAAGGCTGGATTCTGATGGAGTGGCTCAATGGTAAGATGCTGGCCAGGGGGCCTGAATTCTCGGTGTTCGATCCCTGGTGGGATGGGGTAATGGGTGCGCACAGCTGAGGAGTCCCATATTGGACGAAACAGTTGTCAAGTTCTCTCAGGTTTCTAATGTTTCTCCAAAAATCACTTAATGAATCTCCACAAACCTACAGATAGAACTGTAATTTATATTTGATTAGACTGTAGCATGCATAATCAAAAGAAGGAGTTAATCGATAATAAATATTTTTAAAATTAATCATGTGACCATAATAAAATATTGACACTTGTAATCAGAAGACATTAATTTCATAACTTGTAAACTAAAGGAGCAGCATAACTAACGGCAGACAACACTGGCATGAAATTATTAATTGAATCACTTTTTGTACAACAATAAAGGAGAAGTCTATAAATTTCAATGACAGAAATATTATTCATCTTGTTATGTAACTGCTATAAACTAGTTGGAAATTCACTGCAATGTTTATGGAATTTAGTAAGGGGATTAACTTGCACTTCTGACAAAGTTGAAACAGAAATAAGTAATGACAATCAATATTATTTAAACACCACATATTTTTCATTTATTCGACATTATTTTTTACCATGGTATAAGTCATTTACAGTTAGCTTCATTTCGTATGGTTTATTATTTTTAATCTTATTACTTACCCACTCTACGCATTCCATTTTGAATGCTAAAAAACTTTATGTAACTGGTTTGTTATTTATGAATTTCTTATATATCTGGTGTACATTTCTAAAATTATCACCTTATCTACTAATTAACGTAAGTAAGGAGGATATTTTAAGTGGTATACACAGTCAATCAATTTGGTTTAATAAACATCGATTCAATCAATTTGGTGGTAAATATGCGATTAACAATGGTGTCAATCATAATATCAGTAACAGTATAACTTATTCTTTCAAGTGTCGTAACATTTTTCACGAATTTTTATGGATAAAAGTTTATCTTTCAATCTACTCTGATTTAACAGTTCATGTAATCTACATTTCATGGTTATGGTCGATAGGAGTGCGCATTGGTGAGTATGTCCTTTCAATCAATAATGTGAATAAGGATGGAATTATTGATCTGTTGGTGATAAGTGGAATAATAATAGGAATCATTGTAGCATCCACAACACATAATTTATCAAGAGAATATAGAATAATACAAAATGAATTAATTCGTTGGTCAGTAGTATCTCATGGAGACATTCCAACAATAAGAGACAATTCAAATTCAGTGCTGATAACACATCTCTATAACTTCTTACTCTGGTCTACAATCCTTAGATGGTTAACAACCGTAATAAATTATTGCACTGATTTTGTGAAAAACTATATACCAGTGATTTATTTGCAGTATGCAGTTGACACAGATGATGTGTTCATCTATACTGTTCCATTGATTGACACATTTTGTTTCATATTTTTTACTTATTGGATAGATGAATATGATACACTGCCATCGGAGTCTGTTGGTTCAGTGGAATTGTTGAGTACTGTAACCAACGAACCAAATAACAACAGACAGAATAGCTATACTCGATTAAGAAGCGGTGGTGATACACGTTAGATTCTATTATATGGTCTTATTTCACAATTAAAACCCAAATGGAGATAGCTAAATGTTTCTTATTCTCATCTTTTCTGTTACAGATACTCCAGTTGACTGGATATTTCATGAATTCTTGAACTTGCTAATGTGTAAAAATTTCCAGCTGACTTACCAAAGCTTTAGTTGCATACTATTGTTTGTTAGCATACTCACTGGTGTCTCACTTAAGATCTGAGCCTTCGTTAGCAAAATGGCGAGCAGAAAATATGATCAAGAACTGTCAACAAAATACCGAAATCTGAATTTCTTTCTCTATATTATAACAAAAAGTTGGAATGTCTTGGCTTCAAAAAAGGATTTTTATTGAAGATATATGTGGCTTGTCTGTCTGCGTCTTTTCGAGTCTTATTCAAATATATACAAACTGCAAACTTGGTACAAATATGTAGTGAGTTGAAGTAACAATTTTCCAAAACCATTTAAATGCTTTTACTGTTAATATTTCAAAATGATTATTTAAATGCCATTTAGTAATAAAATGTTGCTTGAAATAATTACGCGGAAAATCGTTTTGTTGCTTGAATATTTAGTGATGAATGCTTCTGTTTTGTATCCATTCTTTGGAGTCTGGGGAATGAAGGATTGGAAAGTGAAAATGAAGTTTACAAAGAAAATCATTTCATGGTATTTTCTGTTTTTATCTTAGAATGCAATAAGTGTGACACATTTGTCAGTTTTAAAATTCCAACGAATTGGAAATAGAAATAACAAGAGGGTCTGTGTGTCGAAAAAAGCCAATTGTTGGTCAACTGGTGGAAGCTGATAAAGTTGCTGGGCGGAGCACTGAGAGGCGCCTTATCTAACCTGTAAGTAATACTTAGTTGTCCTGCATTCAGCCATCATCTGAATCCTAAATGGTCACCTATCTTTAATCTATGATCGAATTAGAGAAGGCAAAAGTGAAATCAGGCCAACTTTGTAGCCAAAAGACTACCTTGGGTAGAAAATGTATAGGCAGTACACTTAATCTGGCTTTCACAGTTTACTTTAAGTGCTTATAAGGAAGGTGAAAAATCCGTGTATGATAATTGCCATGGAAAATAGTTCAAAGCCATACTTAGGTGAATGCCATCAAAAGTCTAAGATCATCCTTATCAAACATATAAGTGTACATGTTTAACATAAAATAGTGGCCTGTTACTGATCTAAATCCTTATCGATCCAAGGTATAGTGAGTCAGTGGAGGTATCACTGTGACTTCATTATAGTCTTGTTAACTCAAATTAATAACCTCGCCTGGTTAACTAGTTCACTAGTTACCAGCCGGTCCTAAGCCCGGGTAAACAGGGAAGGTTGGGCATAGCGCTAGCAACCCTACAACGGAAAACAAATCCAACCGCTAAACAAACTTCAAAGCACAAACGATATATGAAAAATAAGAACCAAATTATTCCTCGCTGGAATCGGAGAGGCGAAATGACGCCAGTTGGTGAAAGCCTGCCTTCGGGAAACCAATTGGCCGATGTGTCTTATCTCCCTAGATGAAAGCGAAAGTAAACGTGGGGACATGGAATGTCCGCACCATGTTTGAACCCAGCAGGGCAGCTCAGATTGCAAACGAGATGAAGAGGTATCACATTAGAGTGTTAGGAATTTGCGAAAGCAGATGGAATGGGAGTGGACTCTCCAAACTGTCAACTGCAGAGTCAATAATCTACTACAATATTGTCACCCAGATGACAACCACAAGCACACTGAGGGAGGACTGGCTATCATGATGTCCCCAACAGCATCGAAGGCTCTCATACAGTGGGAACCAATCTTCTCCTGCAGGATCATGACAGCAAGATGGATTCAACTCAAGAGGAAGGAAGGTCACAATAATACAATGCTACGCTGTGCACCTACAAATAGTGCAGAGCAAGGGAAAAAGGAGGAATTCTACAGACAACTGCAATCAACACTGGACAAGACACCACTCAAGTTGGCGACATCAAAATCCATTCTAATGGGAGACATGAATGCCAAACTGGGAGGGGACAACACAAGAAGAGAACTGACCATAGGTCGAGAAGCGCTCGGTGAGGTGATGAAAGAGAATGGAGAAGTGTTTGCAGAATTCTGTGCAATCAGCGATTTGGTGATTGAAGGTGAGGCAGTGTGTTCAAGCACAAGGATATCCACAAGGCAGCGACATAGATTTGATTTCACCAGACACCAGGACACACTACAAATCATATCGTCTTCATCTCAATCTCAAGAAAGTGGAGACACAGTCTACTTGACACAAGGTCAAGAAGAAGACCAGATGTAGGCTCAGACCACTAACTAGTGCAAGAAACCTTCCAAATCAGGTTGGAAGCCTTCAAGGAAGCTGGTGATAGACCACAGTTCAAGTTCAACACTCGGGAAACTGAAGGACGAAACTACAAATGACATCTTCAAGTCAGCCTTCAGGACAAAATGGGAGATATCGAGAAACAACCCTGAAGAAGCCTGTGTAGAAGAACACTGGAAGTCTTTGAATGATAAAGCAGAAGATAAACCAGTGCAGTGCAAGAATGCACAACGACAAGAGGAACTGAGTACAACATATAAAACACTATACTGAACAAAGAAGTGAAGAAGAGTGCACGGAAAGACAAAAGACACTTCTACAAAACACTGGCAAGTGAAGCAGAACAGGCTGCAGGTAGGCAAGATAGAGAGAGACCTGACAATATTGCATCGAATAACCAGATCGTTATCTGGGAAGAGATCAGCGCAGACGAAACCAATTAAAAATGATGACGGAAATTTAATTACCAAAGAAGAGAAACAAAGGAAACAATGGGCCAACCACTTCAAGAAGCTCTTGAATCCACCACCACCTGCACTTCGTCCAAAAATACCACCTGCAGCACAACCACAGAACTACAAGTGAACATAAATCCTCCATCAAAAGTGGAAGTTTTGAAAACCACAAAGCTACTGAAATGTGGGAAAGCAGCAGGAACAGACAGGATCTCGCTGGAAGCACTGAGAGCAGACGCAGAGACAACAGCGGATATGCTCACACCACACCACTATTGCAGAAGGTCTGAAATGAAGGAAGGGAAGGTACCTGGCAATTGATTGGAAGAAGAAGGGTTACCTTGTCAAACTCCCGAAGAAGGGTGACCTAAGCCTTTGTAAGAACTGGCGAGGAGTCACTCTCCTGTCCACCCAGACCAAGCAAAACATTATGCCGCATCATCCTGGAGAGGCCAAAGGATGCACTGGATTCAAACCTACGACCGGAACAAGCTGATTGTCTTCAGGAAGTACAAATCATGTGCAGACCAAATTGCAACGCTACACTGCGCATCATCATAGAAAAGAGTATAGAATGGCAGTCAACTCAACTCAACCTCAACTTCATCGACTTTGAAAAGGCGGCCTTTGACAGCGTCGACTGAGAGGTAATTTGGAAACTGCTTCAATACTACGAAATACCACAAACCTTCATCAATCTCACTCAACAACAACTATATGAAGAGGCCGCATGCCATGTAATTCATAATGGTAAGCTCAGTGATGACTTTGAAGTGAGGACAAGAATGAGTGAAACAAGGTTGCCCACTATCACCCATGATATTCCTGATTGTGGTCGACTGGACTGGATCATGCAACAAACAGTGTGGAGCAAGAAGAGGGGGATACGCTAGCTGGACCGCGGAAAATAACCCAGGAGATCTGGATTTCGCTAACGATGACTTGTGCCTGATGTCACACACACTTGAAGATCTACAGGCGAAAACTAACAAGTTGACAGAAGAGTCAAGGCAGGGCAGCGAAGACGGGAATTCAAGTGAACGTAGACAAGACAGAGATGATGAACATACCCAACCAACGCCACCACCAACAACAACAACAAGAAGCTGCAATCACCCTCAACGGAAGAAACTGAAAGGAAGTAACCTCCTTCACCTGTAAAGGCAGCACTGTTTCAACTACAGATGCCACAGGCACAGACGAAGACGTCAAAGCCAGTCAGGATCGGAAAAGCGAGACTGGCGTTCAATAACCTGAAACCAGTGTGCAGATCTTCTGCACTCAACTCAGCATGTGCAACCAGATCTGGATTTCCAACACCAATTCAGTCAAGTCAGTGCTTCTGTATGTTTCAGAGACTTGGTGCGTTACGAAAGGCATTTCCATCAAACTACAGACATTCATCAACAACTGCCTACACTGGCTCCTTACTCAACATTAGATCAGATGGCCAGAATAATGAGAATAAGCAACAAGGAACTCTGGCTGGCTTGCAACGAACCAACCAAGAACCCGTCGGTCAACAAATATGCACTGGAATGAAGTGGAGATGGATTGGACTGTGCATGCACTGAGGAGGCCGACTGGGGACATCATGTGTCAGGCGAGCCAGGTAATCGAGTGGAACCCTAATGGGAATCGACGAGTTGGGTGTCGGTGTCGAGGGTGACATGGAGGAGATCTTGTGAGGAGGAAATGAGATGTTGTGGGCTGTCATGGAGCCAGGTTGAGAAGATTGCAGAGAAGAGAGTTCACTGGAGGTGTGCTACTGAAGCCCTATGTTCCACTAGGAACCCAAGGGACTGATAATAAAATAATATAAAACTCATATAAATACTAAAATCTAACTATTTTTGGTGTTTTAGCTCTGATACAGGAGAACTGTATTAGCGTTTACCAACTTGAACAAACTTTGACAACACCATGATATTCGCTGCAACTAGTATGCAAGTGCCCTACCTAGTCCTTTGCGATTTCTTCAATCTAAAGCTAAGAGAAATAACTTTACAAGTTTCAAGACATGAAAATGTAAATGGGTTCAACCATACGTTTTGTCACTACATTGATCACTCGTAATGAAATGGTTTGATGCGGAACTTCAAAATTGCTTGCATGGAAGAATCAGAAAGTGATTTAGAAACTATACATTAACTGATGTAACTGAGGTCTATTTTACAACAATAGAGCAAGGTAACTTTATTTTCGTCACTTGTTGGAGTAAACTTGAATCTTCCTAGAAATTGTGTTTAATCAGCGTTACCAATAGTTTTAAATTGCAGTTACTTCTCGCTTCTTTGTCAGATATTTCACAGAGTGAAACAGAATTATGTATTATCTACTGATTTTAACTATTTTACTGTATGAAGTATCCAACAAGTAGATAAATATGGAATGATAAACTACCGCACTGTCTAACTTGTACTCTGAGAGGATGAATTTTATTGATATCTATGGAGTGGTTGTGAGTTCCACACATTTAAATTCACTCCAAGTTGTGATTTTCAAAGATATCCATTAGTAAGAAAACGGTTTTTCATACGAAATCTATTTAAGATGGATCAGTATCTAGAAAAAGCTGCTAGGCGAATTTTATTCAGTGATACTCTTTAAATTCCGTGAAAATATCTCATTCAATACATGTTGTTTCCCCTGAGTCTAGGATGGTTTTTATTTTTCAGAAATGCTTCTCTGTTTTAAGCCTATTAACACAGTCCATGGATGAATTTGTCATCTTCCCAGTACAGTGAAAAAATAAACTTGA